ACAAACTTTCCGGTACTTGATTCCTTTGAATCATTCATCTGTGCAGCTCTCAATACTATTTATATACAAACATATTGATGCTGAAGTTACAAGTGTGGCAGCAGACCATTTTCTCCAGTTATAGGTATCCCCAGTATGGTCCTCAGACACAAACAGCTGGTTATGTATGTTATTTAATCAGCCCCAGGTAATCAATGTACTGCATTAAAAATCCTGAAGACACTGTTCTGTTGCAGGTATTGCCTTAGTAAAAATAAACTGGTAAAGCCTGGCTTATAAATCAGTGTTTGGACAATTACACTAGGCTGAAGGCTTAGAGAACTTAGCAGCTAGATACTCCCAGCAAGTTTAACATGAACTGCCAGACACTCAGCACTTCTGAAGAAATAGGCCACCTATTCAGGAGTCTAAATACGGCATTGAGAACCCAACTTTAGCAATTTGCTTTTCATCTAATATTGACTGGTATTTATACCATCCGGATTAGCCCTTTAAACTGTTAAAGTACATTTATGAAAGGGTACTAAAGGTGACATGTTGAGAATCTGAAATCCTCCGAATGGAAGTGATTGTAAGACAGAAGCAACATGACGGCAGTTTAATTTAAATATCCAAAACTTGCACCTGTTTTGACGTACAGTCTTAAAACTCATTTTGCTTTGTAAGTGTTTTGTTTTCTTTGAAAACTTTAGCACATTTCAGAAATAGAGAATGAAAAATATGCATTTGTGAGAGATGGTACCTTACCATACAAAGCCCCAGTTGGAGAGCTATATTCAAATACAGAAGAATAAGGCTCAGCTTTTAGGACCACAAACATTGCACATACTGTTTGTTTGAACAAACAGGAAGGACAAATCAAGGTGAAAAACACCCAGACATGCAGTGTATTTCCTTAACTCAAAAGAGAGTCAGAAACTAAATTCATACTCACAGAATGCAGTGTTTTTACCAGAATGGAAACAGTTGAACAGTGAAGTGTGTAACACGGAAGTGTATTCTTAAATTGTTATAATAGGTTTTAGTAAGTTTATTTGCAAGATATTGAGAGATTGAACTTGCAATCAAAATAGGGTTAGCAGACACTGCAATTTAAAAAAAAATAATTAGAAATGGCTAATTATTTTCCTTACGCAAGGAATATAAATGAAAAAAACGAATACAAAAAACACTGATCTCTGTGCTTGTGTTTTGGCCACAGAAATACCTGAAGCATTTTTTTTCGGGGGGGGGAGGGGGGGGAAACCAGTATCTGGGGTTAGAAATATATTTTTAACTTTGCCCCCTATATTTTTTTTTTTTGTACTTTAGATCAGGGAGTAAGAGAATATCCATACTGTCTAACCTTTTGACATGCAACATAAGTGCCTCAACTGCAATTGCAGGGGCTGTATATGGCCAGCGGTGCCAGGTATGTTCTTCTAAAGAATTAGATTATCTAAATAAGGAGCCTAGATTCTCTCTAAGGAGAGAGAAGTAGGCTCCTCAATTAAATGCTTAAGTTAGATGGTGTGAATACCTGACAAGGTTTCTAATTATTCCTTAATGATTTCAGTACAAGGCAACAATCCTTTCCCTATATGAAGTATCTATAACAGTGCAAGCTGTGTGACAGAACTTAAACTTGCAGACTTGCCTATGAAAGAGTTTTAAGTGATGCAGTTTGTGTTATCTTAAAAGCCTGAAAGAATAAAAAAAGGCTCCTTACAGTGAGTCACATAAGAAAAACTTGGCTATTGGCTTAATTTTCTCACGTTTAAATCAATGTTGTCATGATGTTTAACTACTTTTATTTAAAAACAAAACAAAAACTCTTGAACTTTGCAAGATTCCCCTGAGAGATGTCCTTCCTAACTGCTGTAAGCAGAAGCAGCTTTGCCGTAACTAATGTGGCCACTGTGAATTCAACTTCACATGAGCTATGTTTCAGTTTTAACTATGAAGTACAGAAAATCTGCTTTCATCCCTTAAGTAATACGCATAATTACTTACTCAGTTATCAGTAATGGCATTCATTGTCACTGCTATATTAGTTTAATGCCAAGAAACATTTTTTTCATCAAAATTGATGTCAGTTCTGTACTGGGAACCATCCATCAATGCAAACACCAAAGAATAAAGAAGTTTCATGAAAGGTTAAAGCTTTGAATTTGTATACGATTCCTCTGTGGCTTATCTTGTTTGCATCACATACACATTTTACAGAAACCGGATGAGCAGCTGACACTGCTGAACGCTATTCAGACTTAGCAAAAAATAAATAGCACTTAAAAAATGGTAGCAAAACATTAATGATCTCCAGAAAGCTATTCAGTGAGGACACCGGCTTTTCTAAGCTGTCTTCATTCGCCAAGGTTGAGATAGCTAAAGTTCAAAGTTGAGATGCTTTGTCCCTTGCCATACAAAATGATTACTGCAGTTAAAGCAAAGATGCATGATCATGTGGAAAAACATCCTGCAAAACTGTGAATGACGCAGTAGGTATTCAACATGCATGCTAAGATGTGTTTGCTCTGTGAAAGCTTGGAAGAAATACCTAACTTTTACATACACATAAATGCTTTTGTGCAAGACTTTCCAAAGGCACAAAATTTAATTACTGCTGTATTTTAATATCTTCTGAAATTGCTACTGTATCTTTAAGAATCCTCAATCTAAATACCTCAGCCTTTTATGGAAGGAGACAAGCACAGTACAAATTAGCGAGATGGGTGTTTGACAGCATCGCAATTGCCAACACAAGTCCTAATGAAAGAAGCACGAGTTCCAAACTCTATTTAACTTTTTCATTACAACTTGCAAAATGTAACGGTCATCACAAGGAATTAACCATATAACAATAGTATAACTGAAAAATAAGAACATGATTTCAGTGTGGCAAAGTGATTTATGGAAACATCTATTGTTTCCACAATAGCAGTAGATAGCACTGCAACCCTTCAAAGAGGATTATTTTTACTGTGTTCTGCAACTATGACTTTATACACGTAAGTGAGATTACAGCATAAATATAGCCAAACAGATCTGTCTAATTGGTGGCTCTAGGGCTCACAGGTAAGACCAACAATTCAGTGTGTCCACCTTCTCACTTTGATACTCTCTCTTCAAAAAAAACCAAAAACCAACCACCAACCCTCCCAAACAGAAACATTAATGTAATTTATTATAAAGCTAAATTGCAAGGATTTTTTCCTACCCTACCAGATAGAAATGATTTAGATTATAGTTTGAATGCACAAGACTCTTGTTTAGACATAGAATGAGTTCATCTCTATTAGAAGACCACTGTAGAAGCTTCTGAAACTTCAAAGTAACAGCCATACTGACTTGTAAGGCATATTGAATGAGTAAATATATTCACAACTTGTGCTTAGCTGCATATGAATTCCAATGTATACGTCACTGCAGTTTCAACGTATGACGGCATTAATATTTTTAACCCTGTTCCTTAGGCTAACATCTTTGGGAGACATTGCAGTGTTTACTTCCAAATATTCTTGGAGCCCTTCACTGCAAAGCATTACCTATCCGTAATCTGTTTTCCTTAACAGATCAGGTTGAATACATAGAAAATGGCACCTTTTCTCCCCATCTTTCCACCCATGCAAAAATTATTCAACTATGATATTTCAGGTAGTAAGGCTACTTAATGGAACAGGTCTTCATAGTATAGGCATATCCTCTTATGTTTTCATGTTCAATGCACACGCTTACAGCAGAATTTAGGTATGTCTGAAAGTCACCACTAGCCTCAAGAATACTGCAAGTATCAGAGCTCACCTAGACAGAGTCAGGAACATGGCCCCTTGTGCCAAATGGAACTCCACAAGCAAAACGGTAAGAAAAATAAGAAGTCTAGTTGGAAATCCAGTCCTAGGGAGCACCTTTTTGCCACTATTACAGCTACATAAGGATGAGCTTGCTAATTCATGCAAATAGAGCTGTACAAACTCAAAATATGGTCACAATTACGACAAATTAAACTCTAGGTTACTCTGTGTGAAACCTAACAAAACCCAACAATAATAGCCTTTTGTGGAGATAAAGAAACATTCTAATTATTTTCTTTGCATATTATCTTTTTTACTTTTACTGTAATATAGTAGCTCAGAGTGAGACAAAAAACGCTGACACCTCTGTAATGAAAATCAAAGAATGTATAGAATTAATGGAATAATCTGCTTCTATTTTAAAACGCCTCATTTCTAAAATAAGTGGGTTAAGCTTTTTTTGTAACTTAAAACCATGCAAAAACTGTAAATTCTTAGAATGGCAACTGAGACTGGGATACAAAATAATAAAGGTCCCCACTAACAGGAAACATTATGACTAAATGAATATAGGCAGGAACGGGAAAAATAACATTTTACTAACAGGTAACTGAGGCTGGAGTTGTGACTTACCTAAAGTCACATAACATGTCACTGGCAAAATTAAGGAGGTAAACCCAGACCTTTAGTTCTAAAACACATTCTCCTCTTTAGTACTTCTAAATCACAGGGCTTCCAGCCAAAACATAACGTAAAAGTTGCTAGAATACGGAGGAAAAAGAATCTCACTAACATGCGAATGTCAACCTAGAACACTAGCAAAAAGGCGAACACGACAGACTCAGGGCCATCTACGATAGTAATAAAACCTACGTATGAGGACAAGTGAACAGAAAAATCCTGAGTTTTAAAGGAATTTGTAAGAATATGAGCACTATCATAAGCAGAAAATACTCGTTGGACAAATGTATTTTGCTCTATTCCTGTGTCAGTGGCTACGGTTTCTATCTTTCTTGACGGTCAATATTCTTAATTAACTAAGAATCACATATTGCTGAATACATCGAAAACATTGGGGTCAGCTGCAATTTAGAACTAAAAATAATATAGAAATACACAATTTTCACTCCAAGTATCGGAGCTGTAACCACTGTTTAATTTTCATTTAAAGCAAATGATGTCAAAACGCTATGCGAGACTACAAACACACCAGTTATGCACCGTCCTTACCTGCAAAGGAAGGAGAGTATTACTGTTGTTGTCAGTTCGGAAAACATTATCTTCAATCCATGATTTTGGTGTCAGTGATGGAGTGGAGCGAGTAAATTTAGGAGGTGCTATGACATTACCAGAAAAGGGCTTCTTCAAAGGAGAGATCTGGTTCATAGTTCCTGGAATTCCCATGTTTCCAGTTCTACGATGGTCTCTGCCATGCATTCCTCCCCAGGATATATTTCCTGTGCTCCAGCCACTACTCTGATTGCTCCAGGGCGACTGCTTCAGAAGAGGCTAAAAAGAAAGATTTATTTATTTATTTAGAAAATGCTTGAAGTGCTTTTCTACTTTTTTTTTAAAAAACAAAACAAAACAACCCGTCACCAACTAACCAATGCAGAGATTTCTATAAATCACT